TATCACAACTTTTTATCTTTTCTCAAATTCTTTTCTCAACTTAGATAATTAATATGGTTCAGATAACATAATATTTTGAGTTTCTATTTATTAAACCAATCTCTTTTATTGTATTAAGTTCAAGTTCATTTTATTTATATAGCACGTTTTATAGCAGCCACTGACTGACCAAAGTGCTTTACAGAACTATAGAATTAAAAGACAGTAATACCATGCATAGCAGCACATCATAGAAAAGTACAGCAAAGTTAAGAACAGCTTTGAACGGGAGTAGTCAAAACCAGTATCAAAGAAAAAAAAGAAAAAAAAAAGAAAAAACATATACAGATATAAATATATATATATAAATATATATATATATATATATATACACACACTCACCTAAAGGATTATTAGGAACACCTGTTCAATTTCTCATTAATGCAATTATCTGATCAACCAATCACATGGCATTTGCTTCAATGCATTTAGGGGTGTGGTCCTGGTCAAGACAATCTCCTGAACTCCAAACTGAATGTCAGAATGGGAAAGAAAGGTGATTTAAGCAATTTTGAGCGTGGCATGGTTGTTGGTGCCAGACGGGCCGGTCTGAGTATTTCACAATCTGCTCAGTTACTGGGATTTTCACGCACAACCATTTCTAGGGTTTACAAAGAATGGTGTGAAAAGGGAAAAACATCCAGTATGCGGCAGTCCTGTGGGCGAAAATGCCTTGTTGATGCTAGAGGTCATAGGAGAATGGGCCGACTGATTCAAGCTGATAGAAGAGCAACTTTGACTGAAATAACCACTCGTTGCAACCGAGGTATGCAGCAAAGCATTTGTGAAGCCACAACACGCACAACCTTGAGGCGGATGGGCTACAACAGCAGAAGACCTCACTGGGTACCACTCATTTCCACTACAAATAGAAAAAAGAGGCTACAATTTGCAAGAGCTCACCAAAACTGGACAGTTGAAGACTGGAAAAATGTTGCCTGGTCTGATGAGTCTCGATTTCTGTTGAGACATTCAGATGGTAGAGTCAGAATTTGGCGTAAACAGAATGACAACATGGATCCATCATGCCTTGTTACCACTGTGCAGGCTGGTGGTGGTGGTGTAATGGTGTGGGGGATGTTTTCTTGTCACACTTTAGGCCCCTTAGTGCCAATTGGGCATCGTTTAAATGCCACGGCCTACCTGAGGATTGTTTCTGACCATGTCCATCCCTTTATGGCCACCATGTACCCATCCTCTGATGGCTACTTCCAGCAGGATAAGGCAACATGTCACAAAGCTCGAATCATTTCAAATTGGTTTCTTGAACATGACAATGAGTTCACTGTAATAAAATGGCCCCCACAGTCACCAGATCTCAACCCAATAGAGCATCTTTGGGATGTGGTGGAACGGGAGCTTCGTGCCCTGGATGTGCATCCCACAAATCTCCATCAACTGCAAGATGCTATCCTATCAATATGGGCCAACATTTCTAAAGAATGCTTTCAGCACCTTGTTGAATCAATGCCACGTAGAATTAAGGCACTTCTGAAGGCGAAAGGGGTTCAAACAGTATTAGTATGGTGTTCCTAATAATCCTTTAGGTGAGTGTATATATATATATATATATATATATATATATATATATATAAATTAACAACCTTATTTATAGGCCAAAGAAAACAAGTGCGTTTTTAAAAGTGACTTAAAAGAGATCACAGAAGGGGCTAATCTAACGTCTATGGGCAAATTGTTCCACAGCCGAGGCCCAACCACAGAAAAAGCTCGATCCCCCCTGCGTTTGAATCTGCATTGAGGGACTAGTAACAGATTCTTTTCACCTGATCTCAGACTTCTTTCTGGAGTATAAGGTTGTAGCAGTTCGGATAGGTAGCTCGGTGCTTGGTTGCATAGAGCTTTGTACACAAATAACAGGATTTTGAACTCAATTCTGAAATTAATGGGCAACCAATGAAGCGACATCAGAATTGGGGTGATATGGTCACTTTTCCGACTATTTGAGAGGAATCTCGCGGCGGCATTTTGCACCAATTGCAGACGAGCAGTTTGAGTTTTCGAGATACCGCAATAAAGTGAATTGCAGTAATCTACACGTGGTGATAAAAGCATGAACAGCCATCTCAAGAGTTTTAGGATTGAGAAAAGGTTTGACTTTTGACAACAGACGCAGTTGATAAAAACTAGAGCTTATTACAGAGGAGATTTGTTTATCAAATTTAAAAGACTCATCCAGTAGAACGCCCAGGTTCCGTACACTTGAAAATCTAAAAGCCGATAGTCTGCCTAGGTCGAAGGTGGCAGCCTGGGGATTAACAGTGGACCCGAAAACAATGATCTCTGTTTTGTTTTCATTTAAAAACAAAAAAATTTGGTCCAGCCAAAATTTTACTTCATCTAGACAACCTAAAAATGATGAAAAGGCAGAGGGATCATTTCTCTTGATTGGAACATACATTTGGGTGTCGTCTGCATAACAATGAAAAGATACCCCATGTCTTCTTAGAATGGTGCCCAACGGTAACATGTAGAGGGAAAAGAGAGAAGGCGCTAAGATAGATCCTTGAGGAAGCCCACAGGATAGATGCGCAGCAGAAGAGGAGCAATTTCCTAACTTTACTCTGAAAGTACGACCCGATAGATAAGACTGGAACCACTGGAGGACGATACCTTTTAGCCCCACATCATACTCTAGTCTGGATATCAGGATAGAGTGGTCGATCGTATCGAGTTTCTTTGTTCTGTTGAACACAAAAGAAGATATTTGGAAGAATGTTGGTACTACTATTAACTCTATTAACTCAATTTTAATTTCAATGAACTCAAAATTTTAAGGCAACCAGGTAACTTACTTTAAGTTAAGCCAACAATAAGGTTTTTTTACAGTGTATGCACTCAAATGTGCTTAAATCTGAGTGACGTGTTTTTGAGTGTGTGTTTGTTCCCATGTACAGTCTATACTCAAGGGTGCACTGGGATTGCAGCAAGCAGGCACTTCTGTACTAAAACTGAGTCATAGTCAGCACTTTCTTAGGTACCTCATTGACTTTAACCCCCAGCCAAACACATACACACTTCCACACAACTGTGGCACTGCAACAGGCATTCCATCACCCCCTCTGAAATGAAGAGAATGTCTTGTTAATTGCCCCATGTTATTTATGATACCGAAGGGCTGTATGCATTATTGAAGAATACTCTGTTGTTCTTTCGCGAGCAGCTCGATGCAATTGTGTCTGTTAACGCTCGTTGATATCTTATAATGTGGGCTATTTTATGGGGCAATTGTACGTGTTGGAAAATAATCTAGCCAAAGATGATGTCTTGCTTGGGGTGGGTGGTGCTTGCGGGTTGCATGCGCTACTGGCACTGTATCCAAGATACCCACACAGTTTCCTTGGCAACCAGAGAGAGCACATGGATAAAGTGTGCGCATTAGTTAATGATGCTTATGACACTTCTTTTTCCACACGTTTTTTTTTTCATCCAAAACAGTAGTGTAATAATGGCGGACGAATCTTTGAGGATTGCAATAGGCACTATTAAGCAGTGTTTTACAACACACACACACACACAGACACGCGTATGACTCGCATATGTAACATCGCGGAGCTAGAACGGAGAGTTGCGATTGTCTTTAGAAAGAGTTTGCGCCAACGTCATAGCGAACCGTAAACGGTGAACGTATTTCGCTGATGTCAGCTGAAACGGATCCATTAGATCAACGGAGACGGAGAAGCTGCTGCAGCGCGCGCGCGCAAACCACAAAGAGAGTCACTTCCAAGCTCATCAACTGCAATGTGAAAAAAAAAAGAAGCCACATTTTGTTACAAATACAACACTTTTATAAACGCATATTTAGGAAACGGTGCTCATTTTAGTCTAGAATAAAACTCTGCAAAATGTATTTTTTCTTAACCAGTATCCTACAACGGAAAGCTACCCTTAAAGGGATAGTTCACCTAAAAATGAAAATTATGTTATCTACTCACCTTTATGTTGTTCCAAACCTGAATGAGTTTCTTTGTTCTGTTGAACTAAAAAGAAGACATTTTGAAGAATGTCGGTAGGCCTAATCAAACAGTTGACGGTAGCCATTGACTTCCATATGGCCTATAGGAAAACAAATAAGCTACTATGGAAGTCAATGGCTATGTGTCAACTGTTTGGTTACCAACATTCTTCCAAATATCTTCTTTTGTGTTCAACAGAACAAAGAAACTCATACAGGTTTGGAACAACATGTGAGTTAATGATGACAGAATTTCATTTTTGGGTGAACGATCCCTTTTTTTAAAAGTTAGGCCTAGGCCTACTTTTAAAGTAAAAAGTTTTAATTATCTTGTAATTTAGCCTACAGATCAAATTGAACGAGTACTTTTATAAGGGGCAAAGGGATTTCCCAGAATTCCATGGTATAGCACGCATCACGTTTGTTTGAATAATTGTTTGTATGGATCTTCTTATTTATGTTACTGGGTTTGCTTTGTTTATGATATTAATGTTTAAAGCATGCATTTGCGGTGCCATTTACAAAAATACAGTGCTAACCTTGCTAAATGTAGGCTATGCTTTAAACAAGTTAAACATTTGCCAATGAGAAAAAAAAGAAAAAAAACTCAAGAAAATATCTAGTTTTAAAAATTACCATGTGCCTTATGCTAGAGAAAAATGCATAATTAGCCATTATTATTTAAGAATTAATTCGTCGATGAATTTGCACTTGTTGACAATACTGCATCTTAGATGAGCATTCGGAGATTTTCAAAGTGTCACCAAAATAAATACTTGCCTTGTGTCTTTGATCAGAACGTTCGCTCACTTCATGAGAAGCATGCGGTCCTATTCATTATCAATTCAAATATGTCTTCTTGATTGAAGTATTTGGGTAAGGAGTCACGGCGCGTTCATGTATTCCCAGTCTCGCGCGGCGCTGTCCAATCGCCTGCGACCATAAGGAGGTCCGATTCGTCCCTGTTTCACACAGCGTTCCCTCCCCGTCCCTGCCTCCTCCTCCTCTCCTCCCCTCTGCTTGGCTGCCTTATCATCGCTTCCTTATTGCCAAACCTGCAAAGACAGGGCTGTAGCCTACTGAATGCAACGTAATTTTGACCCATGTTCCATTAGCTGAGCGGCCCTGAGGGCACGAGGCTTCCGCGCGGGATTGTAATGCTACACTGTCCTCCCTCTCCGGCCAGTTCATCCTCAGCAGCGCAGAGCTATGGACCTGAAACCGTAGTGCTCCTCCAACACAGCATATCTGCAGTCACCTGCGACTCCAATAGGCAATCAATATTAATAGAGTATTTGTAAGGATTACAGCCATAAGGCAATACGTCGCGGGGGGGAAGGCTGGAATTATGAAGGTATGTCACAGACCGTCTCATTATTGCTTGGCTGACCATCCGATACTACTGCCTTATGCTTTTGTCCATTTTTCATTTCTGTTGGTGTACCGCGTGAATTCCATTATGTCCTTGCGTGGCGACTGATGCCAGGGGAGCCACTTTGCCTTTGCAGCATTTAACGCCGCGCGCGTTCTCCGTGTCAGCTGCTTTGTTTTTGTCAACTATCTCCACATCTTCTAGCGCTATTCATTTCAAGTCTGCATGTGCTACACATTTTTGTCTTTCGTAAAAGATGCTCGCGTGAAAGCTCCTCTCGGACAACAATAGCAGTACATTATCGCGAGCGCGTGAGTGAACTGTTGGTCCACGTAGTAAAAGAGCGGCCTCGCGCAGTCCTGTTTGGAGACAACAGAGCCCTTTCAGGTTTACGTGGATTTAGGTGTTTTTCTGTATACAGAGAGTGAAGAGTGTGTAATGCGAGAGCGAGCAGGTGCTGAGAATATGTGTCAGACCAGTTGCGACTCTGTACCGTGGGTTTGCAGTGATGTGATGTGAGATGAGATGTGGGATACATACCCCACTCTGCTGGTAAATAATGACCATTGCAGTCATTGGCTAGCTGCATGCAGCCCCTCTCGGCACCATCATAACCCTCCACAGCGTTTATGACCACACTCATACGAATATCACTGTTTTATTAGGGTTGTGAGATCTCAAGCATGTTATGAGGAGAAAGCTTCCCACTGAGTATCTGTGAGGGAATTTGACAGGGCATGTGTCAGTCAGAAAACAAGCCAATGTTATACAGAACAGAATGATAATTATTGGCAAGTATGCTTGCTTACATACAAAAGGAACTTGTCTTTAATAAAAATAAATAATGTGTTGGGTATTGCACATGACACTTAAAATTACGCAAGGGACATCTTGAATGTCCCCAGTAGGGTTATTACATTTGAAATATAATAAACACTAACTGAAATAAGTTTGTTTTATTACTTTTTATTTTCTTTCAGCTAGCTGCCAAGGCAACATTTCTCATTTCATTTAGTTTGTACTAAGTGTTTGATATAAAATAACTATAAAACTAAAGCTGAAATAAATAAATAAATAACTAAATGGACATATCAAAAAAACATACTAATACTAATGACTACAAAACACAAAAAATGACTAAAACTAATGTATAAATGAAATAATATGAAAATATAATAGTAAAGTTTTATGTTGCTAAAGCACTAATAAACAGTGCATTCACATAAGCACACACATTAAGCTCATTTTTAACCATTTTAAATTTGATAAACTATCACTGACCACTTGGGCAAGCTACCACTGCAGAACTGCCTGCCTCTGTCACTCTGAATCTCACTATATCTTTCCCCCAGGCAAGACATACCTCTCATACCTCTCCTCACCTGCCCTCTGCTCTCCCCGTTACGTTCACTTGTTTCTCTCGTAAGGCTGCTAGCATGAAGGTTATGGACTTAAATCAACAGCCAATAGTGTCGTTATGCAAATTAGCCTGTGCAGGTGTGCATTGTGGGCATTCATATGTATGAGCATGTGTGCAGGGGCCGTAAAGTTTCATCTCCAGAATACATAGTGGACTTGCACGTAGGATGCCAATTTGCAGTGAAAAGACACTTTCAATGCCTTAACCTGGTTATGAAAGTGACAAGTACTGTAGCTGATATTGTTCCATTTGACCCTAGGATTTGTAGTCCTGAACTAATATGGTATGACTTGAATCATGTTGAAATAACATCTAGTGTGACCTCTTTTGACTGAAGAGGTTTCTTCTGAGTTCCAGATTGTTTGTTTTTATTGAGGAGGTATCCTGACTGCTGATGTGGAGAAAACCCAAACCCCTTGGCTCTACATCGTCCTGAACGCTTTAATGGTTCAGCACATAACGGCAGACTGATGTACCTGAGGCTCTTTACAATAGCGATCCGCAGTGTGATGCCGCAGAGAGATTTGAAACATGTCTGCAAGCGATTACATTTGATTGGGATCTGATTTGAGATGATTTTGAGTTTTGATTGGGTATACATGTTTCTAATGGAACTTCTGTGGACATTTTCTGTCTTTGTCAAGTTGATCTTTCAAAAGAAATCCTGCTTAAACCAGTCTAAGCTGATTTGCTGGTTTACGGTCGCCTGACAAGACGAAAATCCTTCTAAACCAGCCAACAGTCCAGGCTGGGAGACCAAATAAGACCAACAAACACGTTTAAGCTGTTTTTTATTCAGGAGGAAAGGGTGATGATGTGTAGTCTTATGCTTCTCTAATTTGGGAGCTTCAGTGCTACAGTGCAGTGAGATCAAGACATCCCATAATCATTAGCTTCAGAGACAAAACACAGGGGTAGTAATCGATTGTCATTCTTCTGATCTACGATCTAGTTCCACAGCATGAACAATTAATGTTAAGAGTTGCTGCATTAAATGTCGACAAATCTCAAACATCAGCCGTCTTCAAAAGTCGGACCTCAGCGCTTAAATATCTCATCTTAGAATGTCATCCACAAAACTTTGATCTGCATCTCTCTTCTTGGCCCAGTGACATCTGGACCTTTAGTTTTGGACCTGAAGATCCAGCAGCAGGATTTATCCTCTCTCTGCACTTCATCTTTGGTGGCACAGACTCCCTCAGCTAGAGTGTTCAGGCAGGGTTGGAGATTTAAACTTAGTCACATTTTGAAAACTGCAAGTAAAATGTTTTCTAAATTCCACTTTTGCTCTACTGTAGCTTGAATAGTAATCCAGCTTATACTTAAAACTGACACCGTGCTCTGCAAATATTGTTGGTCATTTACACCTGACCTACCTGTCAAAAGTTGGGAATAATAATAATAAGAATTTTTTTTAATGTTTTTGAAAGAACTGTATTATGCTCACCAGTCACCAAGGCTGCAGTGATGTGATAAAAATAAATATTGTGAAATATTACTTCAATTTAAAATGGTTTCTATTTTAATGTGTTTTAAAGTTGTAATTAGATTCCTGTGATGGCAAAGCGGAATTTTCAGCATAATTACTGCAGTCTTTAGTGTCACATGATCCTTCGGAAATCCTTCTAAAATGCTGATTTGGTGCTCAAGAATCATTATTGTTTTCAATGTTGAAATTTTAGTGAAAACCATGATACACTACCATTCAAATGTTTGGGGTAAGTAAGGTTTAAAAAAAATAATTGAATACTTTTATTCAGCAATGATGCATTAAATTGATCAAAAGTGTTCTTTTAAACTTTCTATTCATCAAAGAATCCTGATAAAAATGTATCACGGTTTCACAACATTGATAATAATAAGAAAGCAGCAAATCTGCTAATAGAATGATTGCTGAGGAGAGACACTTCATAAGATACTTCTTTCAAAAACATAAAAAAATCGTAATGATTTCAAACGTTTCACCGGTAGTTGGATAAAAGCATCTACTAAATGAATAAATGTCAAATATAGTCATGCTGCATACCTGTCGTATCCTGGATTTCCTGGTTCATGCAAATGTAGTTGAAATGTACAAATGCATTGGCCATTTGAATGAGTTTGAAGTGCAGCCATTGCATTAGGAACATTAACTCTTTGCAGAGCCATCTTAAATGCTCTTGAACCAATTCTTTTGTTTGGTGTTATGAGTTCTTTATTCTTAAGAAAGATTGGGGGGGCAGTTTTGGGCACCTTTCCAAAGTACTTAATCAATTATTCTCAACATCTCAGCAGCTCATGAAGACTCCGCATGGATGTGTAATGCGGAAGATTCAAGCGAGATTTAATCAGAAAGGGAACAGCCTCTAGATCTCGATAAAGTACACAGATGTCATATGGCAGTGATATACTTGAAGAAACTTGTCTCAGCTCAGACAAAGTGTATGTCTGTGACACATGAAACATCATCCCAGAGGGATGCCACAACCGCAGCGAACAAAGTGCTAGACAAGATCCAGATGCATATTTAAAGCTAAGTTATATATTAATCTTGTATCCTAAGTGCTGAGTCTTATTTCACCTGCATGAAAGGTTTTCCGGCGAACCGTACATGCTCATAACACATACACACTGTACTGTGCTCTGTGTGTGTGCGCTCAAGTGAGGTGCGAACACACTGCGGCAGGTTGGATGGACTTTGATACCTAGCGTTTGAAGTGCTCACGCCACTGTTTGCTTTCAGTTTTTAAGGTGACTCGCGCCGCTATTTCTCCACGGCTCCCAGGCAGAGTCTGTGAGACCTGGAGATCTAACTTTCTCTCTCTCTGTGAGGTAATGGAAAAGACCCGCAGCGCCGGAATGCACGGTCTGGTCTCCTCTCCTCCCCTCCCTGAGTTTACTGCAATGGTGTAGCTGTAACTATGTAACTCTGTTAGTATTGTTCATTTAAACACTCCCCACCCCTGCTGATGTATATCAGATGATGCATTAACTAGTGTGTGATCTTTGCACTGCAGGGTTGTAATCAGAAAGTTGTAAGCGTGTTCTCATTCTCAGATGGGCAATTTATTTACCTTTTTAATTTTTTTGTATTTTTGTATCTTTAGCTGCTGATTCATATCTACAGAGACTATACGAGTCGCTATATGGCTAAGCAACAGGGACACACATGCTGAGAGAGAGAGAGGGCCTTCTGCAGCCAAACCTGATGCGTAATTTGGCAGATCCTTTGAGATACGGATTTTTTTTGTATTTTTTTCTAATTTAATGTTTAGTGGAAAGCCCCAGACAATTTTGCTGATGAAAACGTGTACGTTTTCGGTTGCAGAATCAGTGACACCTGAAATAGATGTATGCATTTTTAATGAGCCCGTGTAAATTGTGTTTGTGGATGAAATCACCCCCCACTGCGTTTTGACCATCTGTTTGCTTGTTTTGTTTCAATTTGGAGACTCGTATCATGTGTATTGCTTGTGGAACACCACTGGGACTCGCATAAATGTGCCTTTGAAGAGTTATGGGACGTATATTGTCATTCTATATATGTATTTGACTTTACGCGGTTTCATCCTTTTTGTTACCGTTTTAGTGGACTATGTCCTCAGCTTTAGTCGACTAAATAAATATACATTAAAAAAGTTACTTTGTTGTATCTAAAAAAAGTTGTATCTTGTTCACTTCATATACAGTGCAGTACCATTCAAAAGTTTGGGGTTGGTAAGATTTTTGTTTTGGTTTCGAAAGTCTCTGATGCTCACCAGGTCTGCATTTATTTGATCACAAATACAGTAAATATAGTAATATTGTGAAATATTAGTACAATTTAAAATTTCAATATATTTTAAAATGTAATTTATTCCTGTGATGACAAAGCTGAATTTTCAATTTTGACAAATCTTACTGACCCTATACTTTTGAATGGTAGTATACAGTACTTTAAATACATTATTAAAACTTTTTGTTTCTGAAGGCTGTCGCTGTAACCATTAAACCAGTATTATGACATATGCTGTACATGATATGAGATGCACAGTGAAGGTGTTTGAGGTTTCAAAATGTCATTTCAAAATGATCTGAATTTATCCATATTCAATTAACCTATTTTGAAAACCATAATAGGTTGATTAACCGGAATATTTTTAATCAGTTTTTGTGCAAAGATGTGCAAAGGAGGCTATGATTCTGGACATAGAAAAATCTCAAATTCCTCCCTCAGACCTTAGACCTACTGTCAATCGTTATATATTAAATAGGTGGCAAGAAGAGTGGGATATGTGTACAAACAATAAATTACATGAAATGCACCCTGAAATCTCAAACAGACTTTAATCTCCCTTAAAACAAGATTTGATCAAGTGGTGTTCACTAGATATCTTATAGGTCATACAAGATTGACACATACCTGTACATTTTTGCTTAGAGGCGAAGACCCAACTTTATGTAGGTTTTGGTTTTGATTTTTATTGTATATGTAACTTGTATTTTTGTAATTCAGTTTTTTGCTATGAAGAAAGCCACAGATGCTGACATGGCATTAAATAAAACTATACTGATTGTGCAAAGATGCTGATTCATAGTCAACCCTACTGAAAAAAACCCTACTCGTGGTCTTCTAACCTGCTCAAGCTAGTCTTTCGTTGGTTTAGCTGGGTAGTCAGCTAAATTCACAGTTTGACTAGATGAAAAGTGCCTAAGACAAGGCAATGGACCATCCTAGCAGCCTAGGCTGGTTTAAGGTATTTTTTTTTTCAGTAGAGAAATCTCCTTTTTAATGTTTGCAAACAACAAATAAACATGTTTGAACAATGTCTTTCCTTTTTCGTTTCTTACAGCGCTGCCAACATGTCTAAGGCCACTGTTAAGAAGCTGCACTGGCGCTCAAAAGTGCAGGAGAGCTTCGTCCCACTGGGCGGAGCCTCGGGAGAGCTTGGTGTGGCCATTGGAGGTGGTGCAGATTATGGAGAGTTCCCATTTGTTACAGCAGCACCCGGGGGTGGAGCCACTGTTGGTGACGTCATCCTAGAGATTGGAGGTACACCTGTCCTGGGATTGACCTTGGGAGATGTAAGAGGGGTTCTGAACTCATGTCCACATCCCATTCGGATCAAAACCGTCTTACCAGGTACTTTATTTATCGATAAGAGCAAATTGACTGTTGTGTGACACCATGAGTTGGAGAGTAACAAGCTTTTGCACTGATCCAACTCTTTCTTTGCATTAGATAAGAGTAGGGCAATGCAAAGAAAAGAATTCCTGAATAAATTTTTTTTTAACAATACACAACTGACAGAAGATTTAGAGTTTTGTCGTTCAAAGAGACATTTCATCCAAAAATGAAAATTCTATCATCTTTTACTCACCCTCATGTCGTTTCAAACCTGTAGGACTCCTTTTTGTGGAAAAGGCTATATTTTGAAGGATATTCTGGCCTTTTTTCACTTTAATATAATAAAAATGAATGGGACTGATTGCGGCTGTCAAACTCCAAAATGAGTTTCATAACAATTTTATAAATTTGATCCACAAATGTGGATCCAATTATTCTGAATCAGTGAGGCCCTTGACCAGTCCAAATCCGTAAACAAATTCTGAACTGATTCAATGAAAAAGGATTTATTCATGAATCAAATGTTGTTAAAAGCTGTAGGACAGATGTCAAGATTTTCAGCAAATATTGACTTTAATATCTTTAACTACTTCTTTTTTCCCCCCGGATGTATATGGACCACTTTTATATCATATTTACCATACATTTATTTACATATTTACCTTTAAACACTTTAAACAAGTCATTTTCGCCTCAGTCTTCATTTACTTTTTATTATTTTGGAAAGAGTGGCCAGGATATTCTTTACAAATTCACTTTTTGTGTTCCACAGAAGAGAAAAAAACGTGTTTGAGGGATTGACAGAATGTTATTTTTTACGTGAAAGGTTCCTTTAGATGTTTTAAGTTTCTAGTTCATAGGCCTGGGGTTAAACTTGGTGACCTTTAATTACTAATCCAAATTTTTACTCACAAGACTGCTAGTACAACAAACCCCTTTATTTTATAGGTTTTATCTGAATTTTGTTGCACTTTTAAATTAAATACTTTGGATGTTTAAGAGCTTTATACCTACTGACATTATACAGCCCCAAGTAGATCACAGTGTTGACATGTCACGTTAATGTCATTCTGCCGGAAGATTGCATTATCCTAATCTAGCCTCTCTGAATACATTAGTTCCAGATACTCCATGGGGATTTTATTTACTATACTTGAATTATTATTTTTTTAAATTGGTTTTGACACCATAAATTAATGCTCAGTGAAGGCATTTTCACTCTCTCAGATTTGTGAACACAATATCTTGAACTAACAAGAATGTCAAATTACTCCTTCTTTTGTGAGATACAGCATCATTTGTATAACAAACAAGAGTTCTAAAAGCTTTTTTATTAATTCAATTACACAACAAAACTATCACTCAGAGATTATAGATTTTTTTAGGTATTGAATGTTTGAGTATAGCAACTTTGCTGCTTGGTTTAATTACTGTAGAATAGTTACAGTATTTATATAAATAACTAGCCTGACGTCATCATACTCAGATTCTAGTCAGAATCTCAAATGTTGTGGGCGGGGCTAAATTCGGCTGGCATCCAGGCTAGGAAATAACCAAAGTAGAAAATTCATCTTTTTTTATTCTATTGAATTAATTATACACTAGCTTTCAAAATGTTGGGGTCAGTAAGAATATTTTGACATTGATATTTTTACAAAACATTGATATTTGACATTTGATATTGTTACAAAAGATTTCTACTTCAAATAAACAGTGTTCTTTTGAACATTCTGTTCATCAAAGAATCCTGAAAAAATGTATCATGGTTTCCACAAAAATATTGAGCAGCACAACTGTTTTCAACATTGACAATAATAAGAAATATTTCTTGAGCACCAAATCAGCATATTAGAATGATTTCTAAAGGATCATGTGACACTGAAGACTGGAGTAATGACAGCTGGAAAGCTTCAGTTTATTTGAAAAATGAATGACACATAGTATATTTACATAACATCTTTTCTGTTTCTTTTTATCTTTCCTTAAGGAACTTCAGGGTTTATCAAATGTTTTTGAACTTCCACAACCAATCTCTCCTCCTCCATGTATGATGTTTAAAATACAAAAAGAGCGAGACAACCAAATTACTGTCAAAGTGTAGTATCGCTTGCCGCTGTTGTGCTTGGATAAAACAGAACCTAGATTAGTCCACACAGTATTTTTTCTCAAAACAGTATGTAAAAAGGATCCTGATTTGCCAATAGCTATGACAGGTCTCCACCTTCCCACATTTCAGTGTCAGACATTAAGTGGATGTGATATCCCACTCTCTATTACTTAACCTCTCCGGAACTCTCTGCCCTGGTTGGCCCGATTGATCGCTGTCAGCGTGGAGGGGGGGTGGAGCCCGGCACTGGCGAGTAACGGGGCGGGCAATCCCAGTCCACAATGCATAAAGACCATCAATATCTTGCGCGAAAGGAAGCTGGCTGTCATCTAAGGTCATAACGCACTTTAAAAAATGAATAGATCAGCGGGAAATGACTCATACTACCTTTCCCATGAGTCCTTGAGGAGTCCATGTGTTGAGACTGTGTGCGGAAAGGACCACCGGATTATATTAAGTGCAAAAATCAATACAGAGAAGCCGAGCGGTCCTCGTTAGGTGCTCCGCAGTGCTTGTTTGTGACAACAGCACACTGACCTTAGAGACTTCTGCAGTTGCAGTGCAGTCTCAGCATGCTTGAATGTGCCTGTGAGGTCTGAGGTGTTACTGTAGTAACCTGAGGTGTGCAGTATTAGGACTGAATTCAGGGGGAGAGACCGTTTAACCCTTATCGATCTTATGGTGTATTTCGGTTTATTTTCAGAACTGCATCTTTGGCAGTTTCACTTTGCCAGTTCACCTTTTTTCTCATATTTCCATGGTGACAGCAGTGTTCTATTTGTGAATTTGGCAACAGTGCTGTTATTTAAAAGTGGTTTCAAATCTCTCCATTTCATTCTCGTTCATGTGTGTTGTTTGTAATCTGCAGGCTCGACTCTCTGTAAGGATCTGAGACTTTACCTGAGCAAGTGTTTTACACCCGGATCAATGGACAGCCAACTCCAACAGGTCATACGAGAGAACCTCTACCTGCGCGCCGTGCCCTGTGAGTGAACCAAACACCTACATAATGCAGTAATACTGGGCTCTTTAAAGGGTTAAGCTGGGGACACACCGGTTATGAATGTAATTTGATACTCACGACTGATCATGCCCAAACGTCATGCCCATGCCAAGTCAGAGACAGTTGCGTTCAGTCGGTGTTCGCAGTTGGTGTTTAAAATCTTCTCCAGTCATTGGAAACAGTCTGTAAGTGTGCTCAGTTCAGTCTTAGAATGTTTCAGCTAGTTGTTAAGTGTGTCCCGGCATTAGATCACCCAAAAATGACATTTCTGTCATTAATTACTCACCCTCATGCCGTCCCATACCTCGTTCAGGCCCAGAAAGGTAGTAAAGACATCGATAAAATAGTCCATGTGACTACAGTGGTTCAACCTTAATGTTATGAAGCCACGAGAATACTTTTTGTGTGCAAAAAAACTAAAATAATGACTTTTTCTCCAACAACTTGGCAACAAACAAGGCTCATTAGCTAGCTCCTGTGTCAGCATCACACGCATGTGTCGTGGTGCTCACATGACCAGCGTCGGCCAATAGTGAGCCTACGTTCTGACGTAGAACCCGGAAGCGCTGCACTGTTTGTTGAATAATGTCATTATTTTGGGGGGGTTTTGCCCATAAAAAGTATTCTTGTCGCTTCATAACATTACGGTTGAACCACTATAGTCACATCGACTATTTTAATGATGTCTTTACTACCTTTCTGGGCCTTAAAAGTTGTAAAGACGTTGCTGCCTATGGGTGGTTCAGAAACCTCTCGGATTTCATCAAAAATGTCTTCATTTGAAGATGAACAAAGGTCTTACCGGTTTGGAATGACATGAGGGTGAGTAATTAATGACAGAATTTTCATTTTTGGGTGAACTAACCCTTTAACATGGGATGTCAAACTAATTTTGGAGAAAAATAAGAAAATGTGTGTAAAATGTTCAAATGTCCAGTTGTAAAATCTATTAAGTTCATTTGCTTACTGTCTAATGCGTTTTGCAGACAAAACTGGAAAGTACTCTATTCATCTGGTAAACTCTAATCTGATTGGCTGACTTTTTTTTTTCTCTTTTTTTTCCATCAGTCCATTTGAAAACAGAGTCATGTTTACAAGATACCAGATTGGCACAACAAGTGCTTTTGAGGATGAAATAATCACTGGATTTGGCCATGTTTGTCATTAAAGGTGAACATAGGCTTTATTTAGACTTAAGGGGAAATCAGATTTTTATTTGATTTCTGTGAGAAGTAATCCATGAGACTTTAGTGATGGATGTTGTACCATTATGTTTTCCATGCGTTCACACTTACAAATAATTATATAGAGTAAAAGAGTATGTGTATTTGGTGTGCTGTCCGGGGAAGGGCTCCGAGCTTGAAATGGGGCCTGAACCCAGAGTTCTCCCCCATATCCCTGGCTGCGATAGGAACTAGCTGAGGAGTCGGGGTGGCAGAGGAATTTAGAAAAGACTGTAGAGGAACATAGTTATAGGCCTCCTCTCATGCTGATTGGGTAGAAGTTCGTTAATAAAACATAATTTCTTGAGGACACTATCCAAATCTGAACACATTTATCACAGACAACTGCATAAAAATCTAATTATTCTAATCTGATTTCAAACTGCATTCAAAAGTGGTTTGGATTTAGCTTGTGAAAATTTAATTTGGGTTTCATGTGGTTTTTATTTTTTCCTGGAAAAGAAACGCAAGTAAAATGAATGGGCAATAAAACGCTAAATTCTGATCACTGACTTGACACATTTTTAACCTTTTTTTTTCTAGTATTTCATTTTTCGATAAAACTATTTGTAGAGACTCCCAGCCCATTATTTAAGTGAATTTTACAATGCAATATGGATCAAACCTCATGCTTTTTAGTCACAGGGCTGGCTACACAAGATTATGTATACAATATGTAAAATGGCTCCCTGCTTCTTCTCTCTATCAACCAAGGGTTCCTTGGCCTGAAGTTCACACATATGAGAAATGAGATCAGAAAAAGCATGCATGCAATCTCATGCTTTAATGCTCTCAGAGACTGTAAACAAATCCAGTTTACAATCATGTCAAACCTCATACAGAGTCAAAGGTTCAGTCACTTTGAGGCAATGCGATGCACTTTAACCGTTGCCTTGGCAACTGTCATCAAATGTCACAGCAGTGCGCTCATTGTGAATGGCACTGTTCCATATTTTGCCTTGCAACAAAACGGCAACTATTTTCAGAAATGATTGCATGCATTTATTTATTAATGTATAGCTCATGCTGGCATCAGGCTCATCAGGTTCACCGTCACAGCTGATGCATTTAATCCGTCCTGCATGATTCGAACTTTGCCTATTTCCTGATCTTGAATCCCTAAGCTGCACATTTGTCTTTGTCTTCAGCCTGAGGTACCCTGCTGTGCCTTTCAGCACTCCTGTGCTTGCTCATATGCATAAGCGAGTAAGCACCCAAACACAGACCCATTCACACATGCTTGCGCATTTTCGTGCGCCCATTCACATAACGTTTAATCTATCGGTTCAGTTGCATAGCCCGTCTACTCAAACTGAAAGGCTTTCCCAAATAACGTTCCCGTTTATTCAAAACGTCACATCTCTGAATTGCCTGCAGGCAATTAGAAGACTGTGTACTGTAAGATGCTCCTCTTTTCTGTTCTTTTAAGATAAAATAGAACAGGTGTGTCAGTACAAAAGCATGCGGCTATAGTTAACCAGGTGCAAAACGTCATGTTAAATGGTTGGCATATACAGAAATCAACATTTACTTTTCTAATACACATTCCTGGTCATATTGTGCATAATTCACCAGTATATGTTGTTCCCAAAGAAAAAAAAAAGTAATCTTTTGTCAAGATGTGATAACTTGCTCAACTGTCCTTTCCAACTGACATCACAAAATCCATATATTTCAACCCCGACCACCTGGCTCCGTTCTGATATTTTACACTTGCTTTTCACAATCCAATCAGTTTTTTGATGGGTAAAAATGTTTTGATCTTGTTAAATCTCCAGTTTAAATCTGTCACATTATTACGGAAGTAAAAAGTCCTCGGTGTCTAAATCCTTAATGTCTCATCCTACACACCATTAGAGATTCATTTCAGAGTGAATGTGTTGGGCTCAAATGTGTTGCGTAAAAACATCATTGTTTCAAAAGGGGGGGAAACACACGCTTTTTGCATTGGTTGTCATTAGGATTAATGCAATACAGGCACTGTGATGTCATATACGGGGTGTATAATACCCTGGGACAATGCAGTGTTTTGTTATTAATGGCTGATTTATTGTATATGGTGGCTGAAGGCTTTTAAGTCATTACAATCCTGCTTGATGTTGAATAACTGTGTGTGTTGTATCCTTGCGATAGGTGCACTACCTCATAAACCATGTACCTTTTCTCTTCCTGAAGACTTTTGCTTCAGAGCCATTTGTTATGTTGGCAAGTTCGATTGATCAAAGCATGCAGGTTTCCTACTGTATCTCTTCTGAATTGCCAGAATTGCAGTGATCAGGTTAGCCTAAATTGTGATGCACTGCTTATCTACCTCAGGAAAATCCACTTGTCCCAACTTTCGTGTGAGATGGAATTAAGCTGAGAGAAAGTTGTATAATTTCATCACCGTGGGATTATAGAGCAAGTCTGAAGTGTTTGAAATCATAATCAGGTGTCGCCTCACACCACCGAAGTCATATGCAAATAGACACAGACACACGCACAGTTTATTTGATATATATTTAGTATGTAAATGCTGTAACATAACTGCTTTTACCCGCATTTGACACTCACATCATACATTAAACTCCGCCGCTTTTCCATATCAAGGCCAATCAACTTGCTACAAGTTCAGTGTGACAGCTGTGTCTCTGTTTTCTCTGAGGTCTGTGGATCCAAACATCAAACGCATCAAGGAGACTGGCTTCCTGGTGATGTCATCAGGATTTTTTTTTTCTTCAAAAAATGCATTAGATTTTTTAGCGAAGGGAAGATGCAAGTTTATGAAAAAATAATGAGCGAGCGATCTTTTAAAATGCCCCATGTGTCTGTAGCACTATAGCCTTCCTATTTTTACTTTCTCTTTTTAAATGGCTTGTTGTCTACTTGTAACAAATTCATATGTATTTTTTGATAAGTTAAGCAAAAAGAACAAACATTGTATTTTTTGATGATTACAGTCATATGCTTGCTCTCTCTGCCCCGACCCAGGTACGACCAGGCAACCACGGGATGGAGAGATCTCAGGGGTGGATTATAACTTTGTCTCCATTGAGGAATTCTTCTCCCTGGAAGAGTCTGGAGCCCTGCTGGAAAGTGGGAAGTTCAAAGGTCTGAATCTGAGTCTCTCTTTTATATCCACTTTATGCATCTAAACCAGTGGTTCTCAACTGGTTTGGCCACAGGGCCCACATGTTCCCATGGTCATGAAGCTGCGACCCAATTTTTGGGGAATTTTATATTTATATATTTATAGACAAGTGCCTCATCTTCTTGATCCTCACGTAAATTATTAGATTTCGATGGGCGCAGTGGGGAAGAAATTCCGTCAAAATTATTAATTTTGTTTGTTTGTTTGTTGATCACAAAGTACAAAGTAGATAAGGAAAACTAGGATGCCGGGTGTATTCAAAGCACCGCCCTTACTGTTTACAATGTGTGGAATGGTGCGCTGTGATTGGTTGAGCGGATGTATCGCATTCTGTAGAGAAGGGAGACTGGGATTTGTCGCGCTTTGGAAAGAAAGAGAGAAAACATGACAATAACACGGCGGATATCGCATTTTATGTAAAATGGAAAATGGACTTTTCAATACCAACCAAATACAATACTGATTTGTGCGGGAACTAAAAAATTGTTTAAATGGCGTTTATCGCGTTTTGGAACCAAACTCTTCATATATATATATATACACTCACCGGCCACTTTATTAGGTACCCCATGCTAGTAACGGGTTGGACCCCCTTTTGCCTTCAGAACTGCCTCAATTCTTCGTGGCATAGATTCAACAAGGTGCTGGAAGCATTCCTCAGGGAGTTTGGTCCATATTGACATGATGGCATCACACAGTTGCCGCAGATTTGTCGGCTGCACATCCATGATGCGAATCTCCCGTTCCACCACATCCCAAAGATGCTCTATTGGGTTGAGATCTGGTGACTGTGGAGGCCATTTTAGTACAGTGAACTCATTGTCATGTTCAAGAAACCAATTTGAAATGATTAGAGCTTTGTGACATGGTGGAAGTAGCCATCAGAGGATGGGTACATGGTGGCCATAAAGGGATGGACATGGTCAGAAACAATGCTCAGGTAGGCCGTGGCATTTAAACGATGCCCAATTGGCACTAAGGGGCCTAAAGTGTGCCAGGAAAACATCCCCCACACCATTACACCACCACCACCAGCCTGCACAGTGGTAACAAGGCATGATGGTTCCATGTTCTCATTCTGTTTACGCCAAATTCTGACTCTAACATCTGAATGTCTCAACAGAAATCGAGACTCATCAGACCAGGCAACATTTTTCCAGTCTTCAACTGTTCAATTTTGGTGAGCTCTTGCAAATTGTAGCCTCTTTTTCCTATTTGTAGTGGAGATGAGTGGTACCCGGTGGAGTCTTCTGCTGTTGTAGCCCATCCGCCTCAAGGTTGTGCGTGTTGTGGCTTCACAAATGCTTTGCTGCATACCTCGGTTGTAACGAGTGGTTATTTCAGTCACTGTTGCCCTTCTATCAGCTCGAACCAGTCTGGCCATTCTCCTCTGACCTCTGGCATCAACAAGGCATTTCCGCCCACAGAACTGCCGCTCACTGGATGTTTTTTCTTTTTCGGACCATTCTCTGTAAACCCTAGAGATGGTTGTGCGTGAAAATCCCAGTAGATTAGCAGTTTCTGAAATACTCAGACCAGCCCTTCTGGCACCAACAATCATGCCACGTTCAAAGTCACTCAAATCAACTTTCTTCCCCATACTGATGCTCGGTTTGAACTGCAGGAGATTGTCTTGACCATGTCTACATGCCTAAATGCACTGAGTTGCCGCCATGTGATTGGCTGCTTAGAAATTAAGTGTTAACGAGCAGTTGGACAGGTGTACCTAATAAAGTGGCCGGTGAGTGTATATACACAGTATCTCATAAAAGTGAGTACACCCCTCACATCTCAGCAAACATTTTAGTATATCTTCTCAAGGGACAATACTATAGAAATGAAACTTGGATATATTTTTGAGTAGTCAATGTGCTGCTTGTATAGCAGTATATTTACTGTCCTCTGAAAATAATTCAATATACAGCCATTATTGTCAAAATAGCTGGCAACAAAAGTGAGTACAACCTAAGTGAACATGTCAAAATTGTGTCTAAAGTGTCAATATTTTGTGTGAGCACCATTGTTATCTAGCACTGCTTTAATCCTCCTGGGCATGGAATTCACCAGAGCTGCACAGGTTGTTCCTGAGATCCTCTTCCACTCCTCCATAATGACATTACGGACCTTCTCTTCTCCATCTTCCGCTCGAGGATGCCCCACAGTTGCTCAATAGGTTTCAGGTCTGGAGACATACTTGGCCACTCCATCACCTTCACCTTCAGCTTCCTCAGCAAGGCAGTCGTCATCTTGGCGGTGTGTTTGGGGTCGTTATCATGCCGTTCGGCACAGTTTCTGAAGGGAGGGCATCATGTTCTGCTTCAGAATGTCACAGTACATGTTGGAATCCATGTTTTCCTCAATGAAGCGCAGCTCCCCAGTACCAGCAGCACTCATGCAGCCCCAGACCACGATGTTACCACCACCATGCTTGACTGTAGGCAAGACACAATTTTCTTGGTACTCTGAGCCAAACAACTTTATCTTAGTCTCATCAGACCACAGGACACGGTTCCAGTAATTCATGCTCTTGGGCAGGTTGCTTTCTTGTGAGCCAGCTTCAGGCTTCCTTCTGGGACAATGGACATGCAAACCGACTTGTTGCAGTGTGTGGCGTATGGTCTGAGCACTGACAAGCTGACCTTCCGCTTCTGCAACATCTAAAGCAATGCTGGCAGCACTCATGCGTCTGTTTTTTGAAGCCAGCTTCTGCACCTGACGCACAGCACGAGGACTCAACTTCTTAGATTGACCCTTGCGAGGCCTAAACCTCTGTATGACCCTGGCCTTTATTGTAACTCAGTTTCAGGGTGTTACCAATCTTCTTATAGCCTAGGCCATCTTTGTGGAGAGCAACAATTTAAATTCTCAAATCCTTAGAGAGTTCTTTGCCATGAGGTGCCATGTTGAACATCTAGTGGTCAGTATGAGACAATTGTACTCAAAGCACAAATTTGAACTGCTCTAATACGAGATACAACAATTTGTATAGTCCTGTCAAGCAGACAAAAACATGAACATGATGAATACGAGATGTGGCTTTGCATGGTTAAACAACATACTGTTGTTATCACTTAGGGTGTACTCACTTTTGTTGCCAGCTATTTTGACAATAATGGCTGTATGTTGAGTTATTTTCAGAGGACAGTAAATATACTGCTATACAAGCAGCACATTGACTACTCTAAAATATATCCAAGTTTCATTTCTATAGTATTGTCCCTTGAGTAGATATACTAAAATGTTAGCTGAAGTGTGAGGGGTGTACTCACTTTTGTGAGATACTGTATATATATATATATATATATTAGTATAAAAATTATATTATATATAAAATTATAATACATTTGTTTTTAAAAACCAAGGAAACATTATTTTACAAAATGTATAGTAATAATAATTTGTTAGATTTATTTAGTGCTTTTCTGGGTACTCAAAGCGCTTTACATATGGAAGGGGGAATCTCCTCTACCACCACCAATGTGCAGCATCCTCCTGGATGATGCGACGGCAGCCATATTGCTGCCATTGGTGGAGAGGAGACAGATACAGACAAAAATAGACAGACACACACACACACACACACAGTACTGTCCCAATTAACATGCACATAAATTCTAAAAATATCACTAACACTGATGAATAAACATAGGCTATTATAAAATAAGGCTACTAAATTGAAGTCCAAAAAAAGTTAATACAATACAGTTAGTAAATTGGTATGAGCCACTGTCATTTACAAAGGGAAAATGAAGTGGTTGTGTGGGGTTATGTAAACTACAGTTACTATGGTAAATACACAATAAAACATATGAACACTGATCCTGATGAATAGAATGAACATCATACCTGCATGCAAATCCGACGTACCAGTTACGTCATTTATTGGTACTTTTCGGTCATTTTATTATGACTTACTAATTGACAACGTAACTACGACATTGCATGCATGTAATTTCATCTACTCTTTATATATAGTGAAGTGATATATAAATATATATATATATATATATATATATATATATATATATATATATATATATATATATATATTCCAGGATTCCCACAGTTTTGAAAAAACTGGATATATGACAACTTAATTTAAAAATTGAGATTTATAGACATGGAAATTAAATTCATAATATAAATAATAAAATATTAAAGTGCCATGGGCATTTGTATAATGAATACAGTCATGGTCAGAATTATTGTCACCCCTGGTAAATATGATCACAGAGGGCTGTGAAAATAAATCAGCATTGTTTATCCTTTTGATCTTTCATTAAAACAATTAGCAAAAATCTAACCTGTTACTGAAGTAAAACAATTGTGGGAGGAAAATCACAAAAAATGAAATAAATGGTATTGGTACCCCTAGAAATTCTTATGAGTAAAATATCTCTGAAGTATCCATTCATATTTATGTTTTTTTTTTAGCACACCAGGGTGAGTAGGAACATGAAATTGTCCAGCCATGACTTCTTGTTTCACAGGAGTATAATGAAGAAATATAAAGGCCAAATTACCTTAATCCATCCATCAAAAGTAAAACTAAAGAATATAGTTCTGATGCGCAGCAAAAGATTGTTGAGCTTCACAAATTAGAAAGTGGCTGTAAGAAAACAGCATTCAAAGCATTCAAAATTCCCATTTCCACCATCAGTTTCGATCAACTAAAGATATTACAAATCTGCCTGGAAGAGGACGTGTGTCTATATTGTCTTAATGCACGGTGAGGAGGATAGTTTGAGTGGCCAAAGACTCTTCAAGGATCACAGCTGGAGAATTGCAGTCTTAGGGTCAGAAATCCTAAAAAAAAAAAAAAAAAAAAAAAAATCCTCTGCTCTCATCCAAAACAAACCGGCTTCTATGGTCACATGAAACAAAAAATAAAAGCTTTTTGGCAGCAAACCCACCAGATGGGTTTTGTGCAAACAGGGATAAAAAGTACCTGGATAAAAAATATACTGCTGGATCTTTAATGTTGTGGCCCTATGGTTTTGCTGGAGGTCCTGGACATCTTGTTCAGATACATGGTATCATGGATTCATTCTAGCAAATACCAACAGATAAAAATCAAAACTTGACAGCCTCTGCTAGAAATATTATAATGGGCTGTGGTTGGATCTTTTTATTTTATTATTATTATTTTATTTTTTATTTACTTGTTTACAGAATAAAACAACAAGACAAGCTTCAAACCACCCACCCCAATCACTCCCCCATGCATTTATACCACAATCACAACCACAATCATCCACACATTCATAGTGTTGTGACAGGAAAGCAAACTATAAATAGAAAGGAAGCACAAAGCAAACAATAAATCAAATAAATGATAAATTAGAATAAATCAATAATACTGATAAAAAAATCAATAAACAAAATACAATACAATTAGCAAAACATTTATGACATAACACATGGCACACCTTTAAGAAAGTACACCTAATATTTATATCTCTAACTCAAGTAAGCAGACATTCCATTTCTTTTCATGCTCAGTTATTCTGTTGTTATTTGTTGCTATAATTGTTTCCAGCATATACTGATGATAAACTCTATTCTTAAAGTTTTTTATACATAAATTTGATATAGTTTTAGCTTTAAAAATAAACATTTTACCCATCAAGATAATCATATTCAAAAAATGTGTGCATTTACCCTCAAAGAAACACATAACAAAATATTCTGAGGTGTGATTCGTAAAATAATATCCATAGACCTTAACCATAACTGTATACTGACCCAAAACTTAGCCATATATGGGCAAAAATAAAACAAATGCATCAAGTCCTCCTCCTCATCCCCACAGAACCTGCATCAGGGATCCTTTTCTATCTGCCATTTGAATAAAGATTTTTATGTTGCAATAATTTTGTAAAATATTTCAAGTTGAAATATTCTGGAATATGAATCAATTGTAGTTCTAAATTGTTCTAAAGTAATCCTTCCACAAAACTGGATCATTAAATTCATCTTCCCAAAACTGGCAGGTTCTGTGTGGAAAAAGTGCAGTGTCTGTGGTTGGATCTTTCATTAGGACAATGATCCCAAAAAAATCTAAATCAACACCAAAATGGGTCACTGAGCACAGAATGAAGCTTCTGCCATGGCTGTCCCAGTTCCCTGACATGAACCCTATAGAAAATGAGTAGGGTAACATGGAGCTGGGAATCTGAAGGATCTGGGAGATTCTGTATGGAGGAAGGATCTCTGATCTCTTGTCTGGTGTTCTCCAAACTCATCAGGCATTATAGGAGAAAATTTAGAGTGTTATCTTGGGAAAAGGAGGTTGTAAAAAGTATTGAATAAAAGGGTGCCATTAATTGTGACCAACGTGTATTGGAGAAAAACATGTATTTTATAAAGAGATTTCCACCACATTTTCAATTATTTTACTTTTATTATATTTTACTATAAAACTTTTTTTTTTTTAAAAGATCAAAAGGATTAACAATGCAGATTTATTTTCACAGGCTTCTTTGTTCACATTTAACAAGGATGTAAATAATTCTGACCATGACTGTATACATTTTTGTAGTTATGCCAAGCTCTAAAATAATAGTATCTTTAAAAGAGTGGGATCCCGAACAACATTCATCTCTAGTTATTTTAATTGTAATTATTATTTTATTTTATTTGACATAATTTAAATGTTTTAATTTACAGAAACTAAAATGTCCATAGATTATTTAATTTTTTTAAACTAGGGCGAGGGGGCTTTACAAATATTGTTGTGGACAATAGGGGGCCTTCAGATTCAGAACCACTGATCTAAAACGTGATTGTATTGTTTATCAAAACAATTGGATCCTTTTTTTCAAACAACAAATTAAATTATCTTCAAAATCTTCAAAATTGCTTACCTGCAGAAACTATCTTTCACTAAGTTTTTCTGATCATGTTTTTCAGCTACCAATATGAAAGTTTTACACATTCTACCTTGTTTAAAACCATTCTATTCCATACATTCAAAATGTCACAAAAAATCAGCGTGAAAAATGCGTCTACTTATGAGCAAACGTATGGGACAGACAGGCCTTTGACAGGAATTTGATGTGGAAGGAGTTATTTACTGTTCAACTGAGTAGTTTGTGTGCGTGCATTTGAGTTTGTGTGTGCTCGTGAACACATGGTGAGGGTCAGGGCTTCACGCCAAAGCTCAAAATGCTCAAGCCAATCAGAATTAAGAGAAGCACCCTCCAGACTGCGGACAAAAGTGCCGTGCTGGCTCAGTTCTGTCCTCCAACGTTATCAGCAGAAAGAGCTGAAAAAGAGCCCTAATGGAGAGAGAACAAGCATGTAATGCAGACTGATGTCTGAGCCTGCTGATGTCTTTGCTAAGGGTCTCATACACAGCTGCAGATTCACACTATGATCCTTCACACTTTGACATCCTTCAAAGTTGCAGCTCTTGGATTTATGGATATGCTGACTCGTGTTTTTGATACTGCTGTGCCACTTTACTTTCTTTTGTCTTTGGAAAGTAAGAAAGATATTGTTCACTTATGTCCATCTCGGTCGAGTCGGTCCCCTGTAGGGTTGGTTTTGAGGTTTTTAAACGTGCTTTTATTTGGGGAACTCAAGGACGGATGATTGATGTAAATGTCATGGTCTAAATAACCTGGTCAATATCACCAATAGAGACTTTTTTTTTTAGTACATCAGGTTTTTACTTATCCTGACACAATTTTCTCTTGTGTTCAAAAGTTTGGGTTATAAGATTTTTTATGATTTTGAAAGAAGACTCACCAAGAAGACTCACCAAGGCTTCTCACTAAGGTTGCATTTATTTGATTTAGAAAATGACAGAAAACAGAAATATTGTGAAATATTATTATAATTTGAAGAACTTGTTTTCTATTTCAATAGATTTAAAAATGTAATTTAAGTGTCAGGTCTCATTACTTCAGTCTTCAGTGTCACATGATCCTTCAGAAATCATTCTAATATGCTGATTTGGTACACAATTAACATTTTCTTATCAATGTTTAAAACAGTTGTGCTGCTTAATATTTTTGTGGAAACCATGATGCATTTTTTCAGGATTATTTGATTAATAGAAAGTTTAAAAGAACAACATTTATTTGAAATGGACATCTTGTATAACATAAAAATTGTCTTTACTGATACTTTTGATCAATTTAATGCATCCTATTAATTAATAAAAGTATTAATTTCCTTTAAAGAAAAAAACCTTACTGACCCCCCAGAAATAACACTAGAAATGTGAGATTTGGTATTATCTGTTTAATATGCCTATAATTAACCACAAAAGTGTTTTTAACACCTGAGCGATGATGCCCCACAGCCCATTAGTCATCTCTCTAGCTAGAAACCACACCACACTCCTACTTTTCTATCACTCTGTACAGGAGAAAAGAGGCTTTACTCTGTAATCCCTATTTCAGTTTCTCTGTCTCCAATCACCCCTCCACCTCCATTCCCCCTCTCTTTTCATTTTTTTCTCCAGTTGTAAATAAGCTGCAGCTAGGGAGTTATGCTGCAGTTAAATATCTCAGAAAATTCCAAACATGTAGCTATTGTACAATTGCTGAGTAAACTCTCTTAGCTGAGGAGTTTGCGCTCCTAGTGCACTTATTGTAAATTGTAGTTTTTTAAAAAGTTTATGTTGAATGCTTTTATTTTAGAGATTTAGAGGTTTGCCATTGATCTGATTGCTAAAAGAGCTCTGGAACATCCTGTCAGTTTATTAGTTTCATAACAGCAGTGATTAAGGGTTTTAAAGAGAGCATGATCTAGGGCAGCAGCCAGGAGTGGAAAAAAATGCCTCTTTTGATAAAATGTAGAAATAGAACTTTATCATTAAAATTGGTGACACAAAAAAAGTTCTACTTTCTATACAGTGGGGTCACATACCACATTGGAAAGGGCTTTTCGATTAAAAAACAATTTTAAACCAGGAAAGTTTTAGGATTTTGAACATTTTAAAATGAGAAATGTTAAGGCGTAAAATGAATTTGTCACTATTTCTAGGTCACTAATCAAATTTATCTCACTGATCATGTGAACTCCTTGGTACGAAAGTTCAGATTTTCTTTCTTCCATTGAAGCACAAGATGATCTTTTTGGAACATTCACTCAAATCATGCAGGATAACATGGATCATCAGATTTTGTGGAGCTCTTGCCAGACTTGTGAGTTCATGCCAGCTTGAGTGCATGTTATCATTTGATAATATAATAAAGAATTTAGTATTAAATTAGCAAAACATTACTTGTGGTTTCTAATGTTTGTCTGTATGTCAGGTAATTGTACATTTTATAGCACCATTTTCTTGGCCAAGTTAATCAGGATAATGGAGATGGTATGGTTTGTATTTTGTCTATTTTCTAATAAATTCATGCTTTTGAAAACTGAGATATTTAAGTTATAAAGCCTCCTGACTCGAGCTGCTCGATTATTGTGTTCTGGTCCGCAATTCAAGAAAAGGCTCTTTGGCTGCCTCAGAAATTGACTCGAAGGACAATAGCTTTTAGATTGAAAATGGAGGGTCTTGTCAAGAACTGTTTCAGTTACAGCATGTAATGCATTGTGTCCAAAACCCATTGTTTTTGAATGTTTTCTGGTTGGAACAGTTTTGGGACTGTGGGCTATATTGGGGGGCATTTCTAAAACATCTCTGTTTTAACAGGGAACTATTATGGCACACCTCGGCCGGTCCACATTGGTCCTGACAGCCCCCCCATTACGTACCAGGAACATCGAAACCTCCTGAGGAATTTTCGTACCCGCAGCAAATCGCTCAGCAACCTGGAAAAGGCTGTGGAGGAAGGTGACAACAGCGAGGAAGACTCTGGTCTATCAGGTACCCAACTGTTGTGTAAACCTTTATTTTGAATTAGTTATTTTTTTTAAACAAGTGTTTTTAAATGCAAGCACCTTGCACCATGGTGCCATATCTCAAAACACATTTCTTTCCTAGCCCTGTAAGATCAGCATATTTGGAATTGACTTCACATAGTCGCCATTTTGCAGTTACTTTAAGAAACCTACAGATTTTTAATACAAATGGATGTCAGCTCAACCAGGACATGTTTGCAATTTTTATGTTTTTGACATTAAATACTATGGAATTGTGTTTGGAATTTATGCTTTTCTCATATTGGAGCTGGCAAGAGAGGAGAGTAACATGAACAGCGTGACCTCTCGCTGGCCTGAGGTAGCCTAAGATTATACAAGACGGCCACATCTCATGTCATGTTCACTGTACTCTACTCTCTGTTTCCCAGCGGGGTCTGCCGGAGCCAGCAGTGCCCCTCCCACCACCATTGTCTCACCTAATCAGACTTGGGACTCAGGCGGTGGGCGGGATGGAGGGGTTGCCATGGAGAACGGAGCACGTGGAGGGGCTTTGCCTGAAAACTGGGAGCTGGCGTTCAGTGACACGGGCGAACCTTATTACATCAAGTGAGTCAGGAGGGGAAAAAGGAAAAAATAAGATGGTATAGTGGGACATAGAGTGGGCAAAAATAGAGACAGAAGGTCATTTGCTTCCTCCAGTAATCAAAGATTATACTCAAAGTTGACATGATGTCTTTCTATGTCACATTGGATTTTTGACATGCGAAGGCGACATTTGAACTTTAAGATGTGCATCAATGAAAAATTTGGAATTCAGTGGATGGAGTCCAGTTATCATGTTGGAAGTGTTTTTTAATGCAATTTTTATGCAAAGAAAAAGGTGACATTTGAACTTTAAGATGTGGATAAAAAAATGCATAATCTTTGCCTATCTAAATGTGGTAAATTTGTGTTTTTGATGCAATTTTAAGGGGGAATAAATGTGACATTGGAACTTTAAGATGCGCATCTATGTAAAATGCATATTCTTTGCCTTTGTCTATGAAAATGAAGTGCGCTTAATGTTTTTTACTCACTGTACTGCTGTTGTATTTCATGTTGCTGATGAAACCTTGTGGGGGAGAAAAGTCTCTAATTTCTTTCATTTTTCAGCCATAACTCAAAGACCACAAGCTGGCTGGACCCAAGGACTCAGGGCAAAGAGATTGTCAGCAAGACGGAGTGTGAGTGCATATATGTGCACGACTGCACGTGTGTGCGAGCTTGGCCCCTCTCCACATTTTGCTCCCAAACACACTCTCGCTCTCTCTGCAGTCTTCACACAAAGATTGATGACAAACCTTCCTGGAGCCATTTAGTCTTTCTCTCACGCCTTCATCTTATAGCTTGTTTTCCTTGCCTTTTAAACCTTATCCACAATCCCCTCGTCCCTCCCTGCTGGCTTTCACCTATCATCTCTCTTTTTCCTTTAATGTTATCCATCACTCAAAGCATGCTCTCTTATATTTGAGAAGGTCACGTCTGCCATCCCTTCTGAGCCGAACGGTTATCAGAAGCCATTACATCTGTTACTATGCACGTATGTAAGAAACCCACGTGTGCACATGTATGTGAATAGGTACAAGTGGGCTCCAGAATTCTGAGACTAAAATGAAATTCTTTAAAATTATGAAAAGAATCAATAATAATATGTGTTTAAAATCTAATTTAAGCATGGAGAAGTTTTAGGAATTTGAAAAAGTAGTTGTATATAGTGTGTAGTGTATATGGTATACTGTCTGCTATTGTTTAAAAATAGAATATGGAACCATATGCATTATGCAGGTTTCTGAAAGTAGTATGCTACATTGTCACATGACCTCTTCAAATTGTTTAATTTAGTGGATGGCATTCAGTTATCATGTTGGTTATAAAAAATATACTTTTAGCAGTCTATTCAATTGATGAGTCAAGAACAAAATGAAAGAAAAAAGTGGAAAATTGCTACTAGTATACTAGAAAACTAATACTTTGGGTAATTGTCACCTAGGAGATGGAAAGCCAACTCAAGCACTTTGCATTGTGGGAAAAAGAACCCTTTCAAAGTGCACTGTTGTGTACCCTACATTTTAGTATGTATGTGTAGTATGATAGTTAGCTGTTTTGAAAATAGACAGTGTTTTGGAAAGTGCCACAGTTTTCTTTTTGGGGATGAGGTGTTTAAATGGCTTACTAGGCTTAATAGGAGAAAGTATTTTAAAATGAAAAAAGTACTCCCTTAGATACAAGTGTGTGATTGAACAATTTATTCAGAGTATAAGCTGCACATCTCACATCCCAGCAGATGGCACTGTTGTTTAGCAGTCAACTCCATCCTAAAACAATGTAGTGATGAGCTTGAAGGCATTGTTAGATTTTTGTGGACATAGAATACCATATGTAGACACTTATTTCTATGTTTGTGTGTCGCTGTCAATTAGTACCTGCATTCACAGACCAACCATCCGAACTGAAGGGCTATTCCATACACACTCGCCTGTCGAAAGGGCCTCGTGGGTTTGGCTTCAACATTGTGGGTGGCAGTAGACCTCGAGAGTTCCTGCAGGTGTACAGCGTCACCCCAGGAGGCCCATCTGCACTCAAAACAGGTGAGACTAGGAGTTTTAACCCTGTGTCCTTTAAAAAAACAAAACATTAAAACACAGATGCAGCTGGCACTGTATTGCAAACACTGACCATGTAAAACTGGTACTGTATGTATTATTATTTTTATTATAGTTTTCAAAAGTCTGAGACCTGAACATTTTTCTGTTTTGTACTTTTATCATTTATTACAATGACTATTATTTTTTTGTTATTCAAAAGAAAATGTTACCTAAAGCAGTTCTTGTTTTGCTTTCCTCAATGACACATTTAGGAATATGTGGAAAAGGCATTAGCTAAATTAAATGGAACTTATATTAAAAAATATATACATTTAAGCTATTTAACATATATTCTAATTTCACAATGAGAAACGCCACTGGTGTAGAGATTAGGTGAAATGAGAAAGAATTGAGGATTTTCCTGCATGCCGCATTCATATTACCCTGGCAACACCAGTATTCTCTGTTGGAAACTGCTAAGTGGCTTTTGCTTTTTGCTGCCTTTGTGTAAATCTGCAGCACAGGAGATGGCACTTCAATGGGTCAGCTTTTTAAATATTTATAGATGTATGATAGATATAATAATTTAATAACACACATAGATTTTCGCAGGGGACTCTTAAGGACGTTGTGAATCATACGTGGTGTAATGGTTCTGCTGATTATAATGTCCTCTTTTTACACTTAAAAGAAGACAAAAAGCCCCATAGATCTGGATTTAAGTCAGATCATTTATAGACCAGGGGAGAGAAAAGGACCAGATGGATAAAAGATAGATTTTTACCACAGGAGCATGAGCGGTTTGCTTTTCCTCTCTCTCCCCATCCTAATCTATCCCTCCAATCCTCACTTTTATTTTTGGCAGGAAATCCCATGAAACTCACGCTTTTTCTCCCTCTCTGTGGATTAGATTATTATGGCTGTATATATGTGTATGTATTTGGTGATCTGGAGGGTCATGGTCTGAATCCTGCTGATCTTCTCTTAATCCAGATGGGCCTGTAGGTTTTAATCTGCCTTCTATTACACACACCACTGTCCACTCACGTGTTCTGACAAACACACCAACACCCACACACACTCACTTATGCTTAAAGGGGTCACGTGATACCCTTTTTTATATCCCTTGTGATTGTCTGTTTTATTTATTTGACCTTGTTAAAATAGCGTTCATCCTCCCCTTTCTAACGTTAGTTTCAATGAATTGTCTTTTTCTACTGGCTGGAAGTTTTAAAAGCTACAGTAGGTTTTTACTGTACACTGATCTCTTTAAACTCACAAGATTAAGGACATTTTTGATTCCTCATGATATGACCCCTTTAGTACTTGTGTACTCACAAAATGAGAATCTGATTGCTTTGGATTTCCCTCGTGTACAAATACAAATGACAGAAATGTCTCTCTCTCCCTCAGCGGACATCCTGGTGTACATTAATGACTTGTGTGTGCTGGGTCTGTCCCATAAAGAAGTGGTAGAAATGTTGAAATCCGTCCCCATGGGTCACAGTGTGGATGTGGTTCTTCGTCGAGGTTACCCCATGCTCTACAACCCTGATGGCTGCCCCAAAACCAGCCTCGCCTCCCCTTCCGACCCAACCAGTGCCAAACCTGCAGCCCCCAGTTCTGCTCAATCCCAGGTTCAGCATCCTGATGGACACCAGCCTGGCTTGGTGAACCTCAATCGCTCTATGTCCCACCACAACAACTTCTACCCCCGTATGCAGAAAGAGTCCTTGGATGCTAATGGGAACACAGCACCCCAGCCTTCCTACTCAATGGTCAATGGAAATGGAGTGGGAGGGACTTTAGGGTTGGGGGCGGTGCCTTTAACAAATGCCCCTCCCCCATCAGAGCGAATGAGCTCTAGTCACAGCGATACGGAGGTCAGCTCTGTTGTCACACGCAGGTAACCAGAATGGCGTATCGAGCCGGGGTTATTATTAATAATAATAATGTATAAACATGTTGTTTATTTTATTTTATTATTTTAAGTTTATTTATATAGAGACAGTACAAAAAAACATGATTCCAGTCGAAAACTGGAAAATCTGTATTGCACATCGAGAGCTAATTTGTGTTTCGGGTCCCTAGAAAGGCTTAAAAAAACACTAATCATAGAATAAAGCTAATACAGCATGTCATTTATACACATACAAATACAATCCTAAATGACATTATCAGTAATGAACATGGTAATAATAATATTAATAATAACTATTATTATTATTAATAATAATCATAACTATATAATAACATCACAACCATGTTCAATAATGATTATTATTTTTATCAGTTATAAATTATTAAAACCATCTTTGTTAATGATTATTATTAGTAATGATTATCATTAAGGACCATGGTAATAATAATAATGATGATAATTATTATTATTAACTTTAATAATAACAAATAAACATGGTTACATAATAATATCACAACCATGTTCATTATCATTATTATTATTATTATTGATGCTGTTCTGTTTACACACGCATTTGTTTCCTCCACTCTCTAACCAGAGCTTCCCTTGTCCGAAGCTACAACAACAACACTCTTCCAGCTCCTTCTCACACCCATCATACTTCCAAGTCTTCCGAGAGCGATCTCTCCTCTGCTACGCTCCCCCTGCCCCGGCCCGAGGTGGGTCCTACCGCGCCGCCACCAGGAGCGCCTAGCACCCAGCGGCCTCCCATGCCCCAAACATCTCTTGCCGTCGTACCCCCAACCGAGCACCCACCCTGTGGTTTCAACGGGTGTCCAGCCAACAATCCCCCGCGACCTCTTCCGGGTGGCCTAGGGTCCCCCGGAGCCCCGGGTGGGGTAGGCTGCGGGGGAGGGGGTGAGCTGGTACCTGTGGCCTTGGGCAGGAGCGAGGGAGGGGGTATGGGTTTCAGTGTGACGGCTGGGGGGCAAGGAGGGCAGCTGGCAGTGGTGAAGAGGGTCTGGGACAGACGACAGTGCCCCTCCTTACAGCCAGGGGATGCCATTATTAAAATCAATGGCGCTGATGTGCAGAGCCTCAGCTTCGCACAGGTAATTTCAATAACTCTGCAGGTCTCTTTCTGAAACTCTTCCCTCATCAACCTTCTAAATTTGAATCCTTTCATATGATCTTTTTCATATGAACAGGTGCAGCGGGTGCTGCAAGAACATACCAAACAGGGTGAGGTGGTCTTACTGGTTTACAGAGGAAGTGAGTGTCACCCACACTGTATGCAGATAGATAGTTTATAATAAACACTGCAAAATAAAAAAAAAGAAGAAGAAGAAGAAAGAAAAAAAGAGTTGTCCATTTTGATTTCATGGTCACTTTAACATTTAGTAAAATTTGTCAAAATAAATTAAAAAAAACAAAATGAGGGAATTTAGGCATCACATTATAATGTTCAGTATGAAAAAATAATATTCATTTTGAGATTTAAGATTACGTAAAAATTACATTTAATATTTGTGTTTTTAAAGATTAAATTTAAGTGGGAAATGGTAATCTAAATGTAAAAAGAGAAAAGACCGTGTACAATTAAATATCCAATATCAGCCAATACCATTAAATAAATAAAAAAGTTTAATATTGTCACATAACTATATAATATAGTATAATATAATATAATGCACATATCTGACCGCATATTATTTCTATATATTTATCATGAATTATTATAATATTTATGATTAATTCTATATAAATAAACAGTATAGCAGGAAAAATCTATCAGTACCTCCTGCCCCTATCACTCATCATTATCCTGTTCTCTTTCAGGTCCTCTTTGCTCCCCAGGCTCCCCAAATGCCTATAAAAGACCTCCTCCCTCCCTGGGCACCCCAGATCTGACCTCACCCTCCTCTGATGGTGCTGTGCCCAGCCAGAGCACCCTCTCTCCCTCCTCGCCCTGCAGTGACCTCCCCAACCTGGTCCAAAGCACCAGCTTCCTGGACTCTGTGCCCGTGACCCTGACCCTAGAGCCCCGGGACTGGTTAGGGGTTGAGGACGGACCTGCTCAGTGGAGCCGTACTGCTGCCTCTAACCTCGGTGCGGTGTCCAAAAGCCATGTAGACGCGAGGGGAGTGGTCTCCTCCAGAGCGATGGAGGTGGAGTTGAGACGGAGACCAGGAGAGGGATTCGGGTTTGTCATCGCATCACAGGACGTAGTGAATGGAAGTAAGTACAGACTGGGTGGAACATGATCTGCATTTGTTTTCTGGCCAGTGGATGTGACCTTGCATTGTTTGTTTTATATCTGGTTATTCTGGTACTTGGAAGCAAAAAATGAACATGTTATACATTAATACAACATTATTTAATCAAAATCAGGACTCTGGAAATATATAGTCCGTCTGCGTAAAGCAATTATCACAAAGGGGAGAGACTCTATAATTCTGCCTGTATTGCTGTTTGAAGACCAGGTGAATCGTGAAAAAAAAAAAAAAAAAAAAACATTTGTAGAGAAAAAGGGCATTTTACCCCTCTAAGCATGTTGGACGTCTGAGTCATGTCATTATGCAATAAGCATGTGCACAGAAAATCTCTAATTAGCAGACTAATTATGATTTCTTTCACTTGATTTGAGGCTTAGCTAATATGTGCTCTCTTATTTTTAAGGAGACGTTTCTAGTTGTTGTTTTTTTATCAGTTATTAAATGCGCTTGAAGGATTTGTGCATCACCGCTCTGAGTGTGTTAATGTAAGATAAGTTAAAGTCTGAGTGAGGTCATGGTTTGTGTCCAGCACTGCTTGTAGTTGTGAAACAACAAATGGAACAGTTTCCTGAGTGAGCAGTTTTTCCTGTTTTTCTCTCTCTCTCTCTCTCTCTCTCTCTCTCTCTCTCTCTCTCTCTCTCTCTCTCTCTCTCTCTCTCTCTCTCTCTCTCTCTCTCTCTCTCTCTCTCTCTCTCTCTCTCTCTCTCTCTCTCTCTCTCTCTCTCTCTCTCTCTCTCTCTCTCTCTTTTTCTTTTCTTGTGCATTGTCCTTTTTGCCAGTTGTTCAGAAGTTCAGTACTTGTTCATTGTCATTTGGGCTTTATTGTTTAGTAGATAAACATCTTCTGTTTTTTAAAATAGATTTCCAACAAAGAACCGTTGCAATCTGTCTGTTTTACGTTTTCTTTATCGTTTTGTTTACAGTTTACATGCATACAGTACTTCATAGAACTAAAGGTTTCTAATAACTAGACATTGCATCAATGTAATTTAATGCATTGATTAATGAATTTAATAATTGTTGATATTTACTATAATACTTTAATGAATTATTACATTACATTATCCAAAATAAGCTTTCTTTTCGGTTGTAACATTCAGATTTCAAATGTATTGTTGTGTAAACATTTTTGCCTTCTTTTTTTAAATTAAATTTTGAAATGAACCAAATAGAATCCAATCAGCCATATTTCTATGATGTATTATATAATTTATTAAATATTTGCAAATTAATCGAATATTTATACCTGAAAATATAAATGGCAGATAATTTGTAGTTATTCAAAAATTTTTAGGTCAGAAATATTTTTTTAATGTTTTGAAAGAAGTCTCTTATGCTCACCAAGGCTGCATTTATTTGATGAAAAAATACAGTAAAAAACAGTAATATTGTAAATTATATTGTAAATTTATTAATTTCTGTTTTAATGTATTTTAAAATGTAAAAAAAAATATGTTTTTTTCAGGTTAATTTGATGAATAGAACGTTTTAAAGCACAGCATTTATTTGAAATAGAAATCTTGGTCACACTTTAGCTTAGGGTCCAATTCTCACTATTGACTAACTATTAACTCAATAAACTCCTAATTATTACTGCTTATTAATAGTTAGTAAGGTAGTTGTTAAGTTTCGGTATTGGGCAGGAATAAGGGATGTAGAATTTGGTCATGCAGAATAAGGCATTAATATGTGCTTGGGATTAATAAAGTACTAATAAACAGCCAATATCCTAGTAATATGCATGCTAATAAGCAGCTAGTTAATAGTGAGAATTGGACACTAAACTAATGTGTGACCTTAATCTTTTATAACCTTAGAAATGTGTGTAATTTTGTAGTGTCCTTGCTTAATAAAAGTGTTTTTTTTTGTTTTGTTTTTACTTACTGACCCCAAACTAGTGTAAAGTACTGTGTGTGTGTGTGTGTGTGTGTGTTGTTATAAATTCCAATATATAGTTGTAAATATCACACACTCTCAGTCTCAGCCTCAGGCTGATAGTTTTGCGATGAATCAGTGTGGTATTAAATCACTTTTATTTTCCACGTATTCCCTATCATGCTTTCACTCAACATCCCTCCCTTTAGTGATCTCTCTCTCTCTCTCTCTCTCTCTCTCTCTCTCTCTCTCTCTCTCTCTCTCTCTCTCTCTCTCTCTCTCTCTCTCTCTCTGCACTCTTTCACCCTCTCCCCCTCTCTCTTTTCCTCAGTTCAGTTTTGTCTGTGCAAGCGTCCTCAGTGTCTCTGTTCTGAGGGAAAAAAACACCTGAACAGTCCTTGTTTTCTCCATTTCTTCATTGTTTTGTAATATTATATGTAGATTAAAGACTCCGTGTCAGGAATTCTCTGGATTTGAAGCTGGATTTAGAAACTCTATCAGGACAAAATGCTGGAAAGGCTTCAGTCTGCCCTGAAAACGATGAAGGACGTGAAACGTAAATACTCTCTTACCTCTTATGTACTCTTATAATATCTGTATTTAGGTTAATTATTGCCCCTGGTACTGTTTACTTTTCTAACAACTAAGTACTGTAATTTGCAGCTGAATCAAGTTTAGTGATGTTTAAACGTGATTCAAAACATTGTGCGTGGGAACAGTCCGCTTTCGTGAGAGAGAACAGGATGCATGTTTTGCAGGTTGCATTGTATCCGTAGCCTTTGATCTGTCCGGTACAGTTCTTCTAAAGTGCATCTTTTTTGATTGCATCTCTGTACTTTTCATACTTCAGAGCGTCCTGGCGCTGTGGTTCACCTGGGGGGGGTCTCACATGCTTGAAATATTTCCAGTGGTAGTGCCAATGAAAGGCTTAATTCTTCTGTGATGTGTTGGACCAGTGAACACAGACTCATCCACACTGTAGAGGCGTTCAAATATCTGCTTACAGACTTCAGTAGAGATAAAGAGAAAAAACAACTTTGAAGCATAATGAAAAAATATCATTCACATTTACAAAAAAGTATAGTATAAGTATAAGTAAGTCTGGGTACTACTGTTTTTTTTTTGTACATGGTATCATAGTTTTATGATCATAGTATTCTTTCCATTACAAAAACTTGTACCCAAAAACCCTTGTACCATGGTGCAAGGATGGTAATACTACAGTATTTTGAAATTTATCTACAGTACTACAATTCATGTACCATAGTATTTACATGGTACTCCATGATATTTATAAGAATACCCTGGTACTGCCATGGTAAGAAAAAATATACACCCATGGTACTACCAGGTACATGTTCAAAATACTATGGTCGTACTATGGTAAGTGGACAATGAATATAATGCCTTGATATTTTTTGGAAATGATACCATGGTATTACCATGTTTATTTGACCATGTACCATATTTAGTTGTTGTTGTTTTTTACCGTCTACCATGGTATTCTTTGAAATCTATTGGAGCATCATGTAACTACCATAACACATATTTATCTCTATATTTATATTTTCTATCAGTTACATTATTACTGTTATAAACTGAACACACTGAAAATCTTATCGTGTGGGTGACATCATCAGCATGAGGTAATTTGTAGGGAGTGTGTGTGTGAGACGGAGAGAGAGCAAAGAACACTGCGAGTTCCTTCCAGTCGTGTTCAATATGAGATTGTCTGTATCTTATCTGTATCCTCTCTATGCTGTTATATCCTTAAGGCACGGTCGTATCTCGTATGCCCGTTTCCATTTTTCAGAGTGAGTTGTTCTGGGGTCAGCTGATGCTGTTTCGTGAAGCTTAGCAATGTTAACAGACATCGCAGGTTCTGGATCATTGGTTGAGCATATTTTCTCCATGTCATGTGAGGTTTCGCATTGTTCATTTTAGTGCATATTTACATGGCAGGACTAATAAGCTGGATAAGATTAAATATTAAACAGATGGTTGGTTTTGCATCTTTATCCCCATAGGGATACAAGCAGGTTTGTATGTGTGTATGTGTAACGTTCATGATGCATTTCGTGGATCTCTTTAGATAGGATGCGTAAAATCAATTAGTTTGTTGCTAGACGCTAAGACTGTGTCCGAAACTAAGTTTCACTGCAGATACTGTTTCCTGTGCAGTGTTGGGATTGTTTGTTTCTGCAGGGTCAGCCTGATGTAAATGGAGTGTTGTGGGTCTGATGCTCAGTCACCATTAGTATTACTGCTGTGATCTGCATCTGTGTGTGTTTCTGCTCCATAGTGTGTGAAAGTTTTGTTTTCCTTATGTTTTTGCTCACAAACAGCATTTTTAAAGATTTAAAAGTATCAATACACAGTTATTGTTGAGCAGTTTTTTTTTTTTCATATCAAAAGCAATATACTGTATTGAAATTATTCTGGAAGCAAGCTGATTTTCATATGGAAGCAATGATAATAATTAATTTCTAAGACTTTTTTTTGTCAATGGATTATCCTTTCCAGGTCTTGGAGCTGCAATCTATGACGGTACCACTACTTTTCATGCGTTAAAGGGATAGTTCACCCATAAATGTTTTCTCTAAATCGTTTACTCATTTAGTTCCAAACCTTTATGACTTTCTTTCTTCTGTGAAACTCAAAGATGTTTTAAAGAAACATCATGAATATTAGTCTCTATACGGTATGTAAGTGGACCCCACTTACTTTCATTGTATTGACAAAAAAAATGAGACATGTCCTGCAGACAAAATAATGTAATGCAGGTTTGAAACAACATAAGGGTGAATAAAATATAACAGAATTTCATTTATGAGTGGACTGTCCTTAAACTGGCATTTTTTCTGCACTAAGAATATTTTATTTCCAATACGACTTGAGACCTGCATTGCAAATTTAATCCAGGCACAAATTGTGCTCTTTTACTGTTGCCTTTCATTCATTCACTGCTCATGTACTGACAGAATCATTTACTCGCTGGTCGCTCAAGGGTATTGTCAATGCATTATGTAAGTATACAAATGTTAGAAAATGAGGGACTTTTTATAGTTTTGAGGTCAAGGACCTATT